ATTTGGCTTCATTAGGGCTCTACTGGCAGCCTGCACCAGGTCCTCTGTGTCCTGGCCAGCCTCACACCCCCACCCTCCACGGCCCCAGGTTTGGGAGCAATGGCAGCTCCTGTCCCTTACTGCACTTTTGTGGGAAGGACTGGGAGTGTGGGCACGTGTGTTTCCTCACATAATCCAAGGTATTTCAGTTCTCTGGAGTGACTCTAACACAGACACAATTCCAGCACTTCATCCCACTGCTGCTGGCTCACAGTGGTGATGGGAGCCTCGGAATGTGGACTGTGTCATAGAGCTGTGTGTGGGAGAGGAGAAGGGACAAACCTGGCACAAATGTGCTGAGAGAGAAATTGGGGTTCATTTGCTTCCTCAAACCCATTCCAGGCTTTGTTGGATCAGGAAACAAAACCAAGACAAATGCCTGCAGACACTGGAAAAAGCTTTGTTTTGGTTCAGACCTGGAACACTGTGCAGGATAATTGCAGGTAATTACTTCCCTGGCTGCTTTACTCTGTGGCACTGACAATCCAGCAGTTATTAGTGCAGGTAACAACAGCATTTAAAGCACCCCTCTGAAGCAGCTCCTGCTGCCAGTCCCTGAGCAGCTCTGTGTCCATCACCAATCCTCCAGGAAATGTGCCTGAATAAGCAAAAAGGGAGAAGCAGGTGGAAGCATTGGCTTTCAGGACAACACAAAGAAATGGAAGCACTGGGAGTCCCAGTCTTTCTGTAATCTTGATAGCTATAAGAGGAAACTGTGGTTTGGGAAACCAAAGCTGAGCCTTTGCCAGAACCAAGCAAGGCTTGGAGCTGTACTGTGAAAAATGACACATGTGATGTGCTTTTGGGACATGGTGTGTGACACATCCTACCTCAACCACCCATCCCAGTGCTCATCCCGAGGACAGCATGCAGGGTAGGATGTGCTTGGAGCCAGAACAGAGATTGGCAGTTCCCAGAACAGTAATCAGGGTGGATGTATGCTGGAGGGGCATCCTGAGGGGATAATAGCCACAATAATGCTAAGGGGAGATAAAAGCTCTTATTGCAATATTATAAAATAATAAAACTCTGCCAGAACAATTAGACTGTAATTACGGGTTATTTCATATTCTGTGACATCTAAATGTCAACACCATAACTCTGTAACAACAAGCACTTGGTACAGCACACTCTGCACACCTGATGAGCACAGCCCTGGGAGAGCACAGCAGCCTCCAGCTCTGCTCCTGCTCCCCATCCATGCAGGCAGAACCATGACATGCATCTGGGAATCAGGGAGGAAACATGAGCCCACCCTCACTTGGTACCCAGGTCTGGGCTCATACCATGACTGGATGTCACACCAAGCAGGTGTGACAAAATGGGGCTGACAAAATGCTCCAAGTCCTTAGGTTTGGTGCAAACACCCAGGAAACACTGGGAATAGTGTCTGTAAAGTTCTTCATCACTGAAATCCACCACTGCATCCTACACAGCAGTCTAGGGCATGAAAGGACAGGAAAAAGCCTGCTAAAGCTGACCTCTCTGGTCCTGCTGCTGCAGATCTTCCCTCCAAAATGTCTCTGATCCATCAACCTTCACTCCTCAGAGCTGCTCTGGTTAGTCCAAAAGAACAGGTGATGAAATTGCAGCAGCTCTTGCTGCTCAGGAGCCTCCACCCAATTTGTGGTTTCAAACATTTTTTTCAGTCTTTCCTGTGTGCACTGCTCATTGCAGTGTCCAGACAGAGGGCAAATCTCTCCCTGCTCTTAGAGGAATTTATTCCAATGCCAGAGAAAGCTCCTTCCTCCCCTCAGCCCCATCTAAAGCGCCATACTCACTTCCCACAGATCCCAGGACCACACATACATCACCAGCTGCTCCTGAAAGAGCAAAACTCACATGGTTTTAGGCATCTATTTTTAGGAAAGGTCTAGATGGGACCAAAGTTCCTCCCTCCCTCACTGTGTTTGTGAACCTGGCATTGCTGATTCCCTGGCAGTGCAGAGCACAAAGCATTGGACACATGGAACAGTTTCTTCCCTCTCCTGGTAAAGGGAAAAGGTGATTCATCCCTTCCCAGCCACAGCCTCAGCTTGACCTGCTCCTTCCTATGATTCACAGAGGTTCTACTTTATTGTCTGAACAGCTTAACTTGTAATGCAAAAGAGGAAGCTTTCAGCTTTTCAACTTGGCTGTTTCAGTTTCTCAACCTGCTTCAAAGGAAAACCTCTCATCCAAGCCATGGATCACCCCTGACTAGTCAGACCCCTGGCCTTTTTATTTTAAATCTCTTGGGAAATAAATTCACAGAATTGGCCTCTCTCCCTTCTCAGGTATGAAAGCATCTTTCCAGCTGTTTCCAGGTGGGATGAGGAATTACAGAATGTTGACTGGAACAGCATCTAAGTAAGAAATGTGTGAAATCCTGGTACTTTTTCATGTTTGTCTGTGTGTTGCAAACAGCTCTTCTGGAGATTTAGTCTTTGCTCATTGGCAAAGAAACACAGAACTGCCTCTGCCTCAGTCCTTGGGAGGGGCTTGAAGGGGTGGAGGTGAACTGGCTGCATTTCCTCAGCATCTCCTCAGTGTGCCAATGCCATCCCCTGAACCCCTGGAGCTTCTTTCTGAAGTCATGAATCTCAGGCCTTCTCTGAGTACCTGAAGACTGAGAATCAGTGATGTGCTCAGTTCTGGAAATCAGGGGACCAAGAAACATGCCTGCAGGGTTGGCTTCTGTGTCCACATTCCAGCTTTTAGCAGCCTTTTGGGATAACCAGTGCTGCTTCTACCTCATTTCCACAGTTTGTGTTGCAGGCTGAAAGCTGGCTACAACTAATTTGGAAATTTTCTATTGCAAAATGTGAGGCATTGAGTTCAGAGTGAAACCCTGACACAATCTACAGTTGAAAGAGCCAGGATTTGGGAAATTCTCACTATGAATTATATGCACAATGCTATGAAGCATTTATGATAGCATTATGATCTCTTTTTGCTTTCATTTATGCCCATTAATATTTACTTTTCTAAAATTTGGTGCATGGAAGTGTCTCTTCTTCATTGCAATTACTGTGCAAATACTACAGACAGGATAAATGCAATAAAAATGGAGTTTGCTTAAAAATCAGAAAATACTTCTGGAAAGAGGTTTTTGTTTGCTTGCCTGTGTGCTCTGGTAGATGCAGATTTGTGGCTGTGAATGAGATCTTTCCTAGAGACTGAGCTGGATTATTTACACTTGCACCTCAGGATATTATGGTTGTTCATTCTTGCCTGCCAGCCAGCCATAAGCAGGAACTTAGCATATATTTTACCTAATATACCTGAGGCTGAGGGAATGGAGTCAGTTCACCTCCACCCCTTCACTAAAATATACCACAAAATTCCAAGGAATCAGGGGCTTCAGGGTAGAACTTGTCCTGTGTGGGAGTGTCTCTCTGAAAGGAACTTTGGTGCCCATCACCAAAGGCTCCCCAGCCTCTTTGGGGCACCCCAGCCCTGCCTCTGCCTCCTTGCACACAAACCTCTGAGCCTGAGCTCCACCAGCATCCAAACCCAGAAGGCAGGTGTGGTGAAACACTGCCCTGCAGTCAGGGACAGCAAAGGAGAGAGTGAGCAGGAGCAGCACGGAGCAGCAGGGATTTTCCCCCTGCAGGAGATGGACACTCAGGACACAGCACAAAGCCTTGCTCCCCATTTCCAGGAGGAAATGGGGATGGAAATGCCTCCTGTGGGATGGGAGGGATGTGCTGAGTGAAAACAAAGCAACTAGAGCCCTGATGAGCAAGAGTGAGGGAGTGATTATGGAGGGGCTCTGAGGGAAGAAAATCCCTCAGCAAATAACAAGACTTGTACATTGGTTCTACTTAATAAAAAATATGTGAATAAATTAACATTTCCTGCTGGTTAATCTGCTCAGCATTTCTCTCTTGCACCATCACACAAACCCTGGCAAGGCAGCTCACCCCTCCAGTGGGCAATACAGCTCCATAATGGTAATGTTTTCTATTTTGTCACACCTTTATCCAGCTGAGGAACAACACCTCTCAGGAGAGCTGAGCAATTTCCAGCAGCTCTGCCTCCTGCCAGTTCCTCTGGGGAAAACATGACAGCCCAATGTGGCACCAGGGACAACATGGTTGATGTCAAAAAGATAAGTCTTCCTGAGGAAAAACTCCTTTTCAAGTTGTTCTTGTTGGAAGACAACGTGCTGCTTGGAGGGTTTGCAGTCCGAAGAGCTTCTCTCCTCCCAGCTTTCTGAACCCCAAGCTCCAGATAATTTTAGCTACTGAGTGGAAATCATTTTGCTTTCACCCAAACAATAGAGCACAGGACATTTTCTACAGAAATACCATGACAAAGCCCCCAGTTGCTGTAGAGGCATAAAGGTGCTTGGATTAATCATCAGAACAACAGGGCATTAAAAAACCTGGGGAGATGAATTCACCAGGGTTTTGTTAGATAGATGCTTAAAAAAATATAATCCAAACATGCTTGTTTCAAGTATCTTAGAAGATGAGAAAATTCAGTGCATCTGGCAGCAGCTACCAGTTAATTTCTGTCATTTAATCTCATTGAGGTGCATTATGTCAAATAATTACCTTAATGAAAACTTTAATGGAAGAAGGGATGAAAATAATAGACATGCTTCGAAGAAATGAAGCTGTGAAGTTTCTTAATTTTTAGCCTGGCAGGGATTTATCTCCCTCTCCTCTGGATCCTGCCCTTACAGAGGTGTCCAGTCTGCCTCTATAAAAACTAACACATTTCAGATGCTGCCCAAGTGATGTATGTATTAATTTGGATACAACAATATAATTTCTGAGCTTAAAACAACCCAACATTTAAAACCATGAAGTCCAGTCATTAATCCAGCACTGCCAAGGGACCATTAAAACATGTCCCCAAGTGCCACATCTACATATCTTTTAAATCCCTCCAGGGATGGTGACCCTATCACTGCCCTGGGCAGCCTGTGCCAGTGCTTGGTAAACCTTGAAGAATTTTTTTCCTAATATCAGATCTAAACCTCTCCTGGCACAATTTGAGGCTGTTTCCCCTCGTCCTATCACTTCTTACTTGGGAAAAGAGATTGACACCCAAACTGACCTTTATTGATTGCTCTCATTCTATTCTGAAGTCCTGCAGCTATTTTATTTATATTTTATTTTGAACAGCCATTTTGAAGAGATTTTTTAAAGCCCTCATGTGCTGATTTCCACCCCCACCCATGCCCAGGATGTGCCTCTCATGGTCATATTGATCTTGAATTTACTTCAGCAGGTTGAAAGTGACACTTTCTTTGGTGAATAAACTATCTTCTAAATTTATCCAGTCTACCTAGGTTTCTGTGCACAAAACCTGAAAGGAAAACCTCATTGAAAATTAAATGAACCAAGTCAAATGTCTTTCCTTTTTTGTTGCCTGAAGGTATAACCTAAGAAAGAAAGGAAGTGTGTACTTCTTCCAGCACGGATGTGGTGGAGAAGGTAAATGAGCTCCTACCTGACCCCAGCTCCCATGTATTTCCCAGTTATCCTTGCTTAGTGCTGCAGATATGCAACAGCAGACTCCAGACCTTCTAGATATTAAAAAAAACCCAAAAGAACAAAAGGAATTGTAGCCCATTTTTCTCAAAATAATGCAAAAATGTGACATTTTTTCCCCAAGCTCCAAACACTTCTCTCACTCTGGAACATTAAATGTGTGATCCTATGGCAGAAGCCCATGCTGTGGTGTCAGACATCCCCCTGACTTCCCAAAGCACCCTTCACACAGTTTTGCTCCTTCCTGTGCCTCCTGGACAGTTTCCTGTACAGGTAAAGCACTCTCTTCTCCTCCCAGCTCTGGAAGAAGGAGGCTGCGATGTTCCGGCACAGGCGGCGTGCGTAGGTTTCCAGGAACACGGTGGCGTACAGGATGCAGAAGAGCAGCCCCACAACGAGCAGCACTGAGGGGTTGGGAGGTGTGGGAGGGCTGATCCTGCAGTGGGCAGAGCTCAAGATCAGATGATGGTGGTAGCTCCTGTTGAAGTCCCTGAGCAGTAATTTTTCAGAAGGACTCCCAGAAACTTTGAATACAAAGGGCATGATCCCTATTTTAACCTAAAATAAGGAAAGTTAAAATGTAAATGGGATATGAAGAAACCAAAATCAACTGATCACTACAGAAACATCTGCCTGGGGGTGTGGAATCACTGTTACAGTACTAAGAGAAGGACACTGAAGTGTGTGATCACTTCAGGCTGAGTAGCAGTGGGATGTGTAGGCGCTGAGTACTGGGCAGGGTGAGAGCCAGTCCTACCTATCATCTTCATCCTCTGGTACAGACATCACAACAGGCATTCACTGAATGAGATTTATGGTGAAAGATATCATCCAGGCTGTGGTATTAATGGCTGAATATCTGAATATTAAAGGCTTTTTTTGAACCCTGTAAATCCTGTAAATTTCCTGTAAATCCATCATAAAAAGGTAACTGCACTAAGGATCCTGGGGCTGGGGAAGGAGGCAGGCTGTATGGCAGAGGAAGGAAGCTAAAACACCAGGCCAAAGAATATTGAAATAGAAACTGGAGAGGTTTCTGGTGGAAAGGATTGCAGAAGGCAACAACAAAGCCAGAAAGCAGGGATTTCTACTGAAGAAACAGCCTGTGCAACAGGATGAGGAGACACTCTCAGTGTTCATTAGCTGCTCCCTTCCCTTTGGACTTGCACCCAGTCTTCAGTGGGGGGACAGTGTCCTATTCCTCCACCTTGCTTAGGGAAGGGACCTGGAGACACAGGGACACCTGACTGCCTGGTGCTAGCAGTGTCTTTGCAGCATGAGGCACGGTTTGCTCCCCTCCAGGGAACAACTGAGGTCGTGCCACTGCCTCCTCCCCCAAAGCCTGTTGCTCACCCAGCTGGCTGCTGGGGAGGGAAGTCAGGGTTGTGTAAATAAGAGTACAAAAGCTGCAATCCCCACCACCACCTCCCTGAGGGGACACAGCGTGGGGTCCCCACACAGGGCAGAGCAGGACACCCCAGCACTCACCTTGTATTTGATATTGAGAGTGACAGGCACTGCAGAGAACTGAGCTGCCTTTCTCACTGCTGTGTCTGCCACGCTGAACGCAAAGTGGTCCATGGCCACAACCACCAGCATCAGCATCAGGGCCACAGTGACCAGCATGGCTTGCACGAGGCACAGCATCCCTTCCTCCCAGGACAGCTTCAAGCCTGTTGGTCGGATGAGTTTTTTGGATGAGCCCACCAGGAGATGAGCTGCTCTTCTGTCCATGGCTAAACGCTCCAGCTTCTTGGTGATGTAAAAATTGTCAAAGCGGAGGTTGGTGAGATAATTCTTCAAATACCAGGCGGATTCAAAACAGAGATAGAGCATGAAGAAGGCAGCAGCCAGTCTGTTGGCTACTCGTATTGAGTCTTTGACCAGTACCTCAACAGACAAGAACTCTCTGCTGATGTTTTCACCAGCAAGGTGCATTTTTTCGTAAATCAAGGGGCTGTTCTGAAGCAACGAAAAGCGAAAATGTCCATTCATAGGCTTATGAATGGAAGGAATGGCTTCTTGGATTGCATCCCCAAACTCCCAGGAAACTTTCTCTAGCAGGGCAGTTGAGTTCAGAAGGCTGTCAGAGGAATTCTTGCAGATGCACTTAATAACCTGCAGTATGGTTTTAATGTTGCCTATGATGTTGGGCACTATGTTCACCACTGCGATCATGATGCAGGTGGAGAAGAGAAGCTTCCGGCCCTGCTTGGTGCCTAAAGTGGGCATGATCATGCTGAAGACACAACGGGCAGGATGCACCAAAAGGAGAGTCAGGAGGAGCAGCAGACTGAAGGAGATGGCCATGGCAACGGAGAGGTGCCAGGAGTACTCCAGGGAAGCAAACATCCAGTTGTAAAAGAGGCCTCCTATCACTGCTGTAATGCAAGAACACTGCAGAAACAAGGTCCAGAGCTCTCTGCCATCTGCTGGGACAGGTTTGGAGTAAATCCACCACAGGTCTGCCATGCTTCTGTGCACCTTTGGGAACAGAAAGTCTTTGCAGTAAACACGGGCTCTCATCCTGGAAAAAGAACAAGTACCTGGGTGTTAGCAGAGGAAGTTCATAAACTCTGATTAGGGGGCTTACTTGAGATGATCATTTACAGGGCTTTATATTGTCCTCTTCTGAGTACCTCTAGTCTCACATTACTTCCCTGCTAACTCCCCTGAGCAGCTGGGGCTGAGCTCTCCCCTGGAAGCAGCAGGACAGGGAAGTTCAAGGCGCTTATTGTAAAAATAAATACTGAGTACAATGCAACTACTCCTCTATTAATGCAAGCACAGGAAAACATTGTGCCATTCTATAAAAACAATCATAGAGTCAATCTGAGGGGTCACCTCATGGGCAGTGGTTGAGGCTTTAGTGCTTATTTAGAGGATATTGGAGGGAGAAGGAGGCGGCTACTGCCTTCTGTGGAAATTGTAAGACCAGCTCTGTATTTCAAAGGTGTTACATGGACAAGAGGCAACTGAGTGGTGCTCTCCCTGCCTCTTAAGAGGAGGCCAAACACGAATCTACATGTTTAAGGGTGACAAACAGAAAATGGTTTCACACTGAAGCTGCAGTGCCAGAGGAAGTCTCCAAGGACAAGAATTTGGCCACTACAGACAGGATGAAATGTCCCATAAAGCTATTTAAATGTCTAATGGAAACAAACATTTGGAAAAGAGTATAATTTCTCAGGCCTCACATCTAGAGTGACTCCGGAAACCAGAAAACCTGGAGGGGAGAAGAGCCTGTCCCGAGGGTTAAATGCAGCCAGGCAATCCCTGTCTCCCACTGCTGGACAGCAGCCTCAGCTATCCTTTGAGGGACAATTTTAGCTGGGAAAGGAGGTTTGCTGAGGAAAAGCTATACAAGATAGAGGGAAAGAGAGGTATTAAAGCTGACTCTACATACCCAGTGGCAGTGAGGTGCCCCAGACTTGCCCAAGAACTCTCCATGTTCCAGTGCCTTATTGCTCTGAGGGGATCCAGGATGTGGCTGTTGGGAGAGGCAGGGTAGGAAACCAAGGCAGCACCTTGAGAACCAGGACTCAAAACCCAAGATGCTTTAAGGCAATTCAGATCAGCAGTGCTGGCAACCCCTGAAGTGTGCAAAACCTGATGAGTGAAGCCTGGGCAATAACAGCACCAAAGAACAGCCAGGATGCACAGCACTGCTTGGGCTTTACACTTTTTCTGGTCTTATTCCTGTTGCAGAGAAGGCTTATTTTAATGACACACAGCTGAAAAAAAATGAGTCAATGACACATGGGCTGACGAAGATGGCACAAGGATCATACGGAACCTGGGGTGTCATCATTCCTTGTGGGGAAATCAGATGACTACTCCTCACACAGTCCACCAGCAAGCAGTGAGCAGGGCTAGCATCTTTCTCAGAGCAAAAGGGACCTTTTCCTCTTTCAGACATCAATCATGGCACAAAGGGCACAGCAGGATCCAGCAACCCAGCTGGTAACTGGTCATCTGTTCTGACAGGCTGCTGCTCCTTGCTGAAACTGTGTGCAGGGTTCACAAACAGCTTCAAGGCTCATCTCACAGTCCTAGCAGAGGAAGAGGAAGTTTCAGTCTTGAACCTTTCTGAATTCCCTATCCACTGCAGAGAAAACCCAGCCACAGTCAGGGTTCCCAAACTGTTGAGAAGCTCTCAGATGTACAGGCCAGGATGTACCAACAGCCTGGACCACAGGATGTGCCCAGCAGAGCTCCAGCCACCAAACCTGCTCACCTGGAGATGAGGAACAGCCATGGTGTTTGCTCCTCACTTATGAGCTCAGGGGTTACAGGAGCCTTTCCTGGCTCCCACCAAACCTGCCCTTTGGCCAGATGCTCTCATGCTGAGCCACTATTTGTGGGCAAACGTGACACAGCTCACCCAGCTGCCACTGAGCCCATCCCTTCTGGGGACCCGCTGTCCCAAGCCAAGCCCTCCCTCCAGCTGGGAGCCCCCGGGATGTTCTCATGCTCCCCTGGGCTGGAAAGGGCAAAGGGCTCGAGGTCAGCCCTGTCCCAGCCACCCTGGGGACAAGGCACGTGGGGCTCTGCCCTCCAGAGAGAGGTGGGAGAGCAGCACCTTCCCCAGGGGACATGGCTGGACCCCATGGCAGCGACAGGCATTGCAGCACAAGGAATGACGAGCACAGCAGGCAGAGCAAACCTCTGCCTGCTTCCTCTGCCCTTCCTGCAGGCAGCAGATCCCTTGTGCCTGGCTGCTCCACTCAACAGTTCCTCTTTGTAGTTGGGGGTTTTGTTTTTCCTGTGTGGCTGGTGGAGCAGAGCTTTCCTCCTGGTGCCCTGGAGCAGAGAGGCCGGATGAGAAACTCTGCCTGGCTCCAGCCGGGAAGAGGCACCAGCCAGGCGGGCGGGAAAGAAAGTGCTGTTTGTTTGGAGCATCCATAGCAATTGCTTGCACAGGCCATGAATTAGGTCTTGAATTCAATGTGCACACTATAAGGGACTAACCCAAAAGACCCATAGCTGGATCCTGCAAGGCTCATCAGCTTCTTCTACGGCTTAACTCCTTTCTCGCTCTACTTCAGAGTGAACTGATATTAGCATCAGCCCCTGGGACCCCATCCAGGATGTGCAGGCAGCTTTCTGGGGCAGAAAAAGAAATAAATTTAGCAATAGTCTATAAAGAACAAAATCCTCCCAAGTCCACAACATTGTGGTGTTTTCTGAGTCTGCTACACCATCTGGGAAACGCACCTGAGGTTTGTGGGGACACTGAGCAGTAACTCTGGCAGCACCAAAAAGTGTTTGTTTGCAGTCATACTTAGATTTTTTCCCCTGTCTCTACTCAAAATTGTTGTCTGCCAGTTGGACAGGGCAGGTTTATGCAAGGGCATAAATCTGGGTTAAGTTCAATTTTATACCATGAATGACCTGCAAATGAGCTAGAAACCTAGATGCCTTACCTTCCCCAGAACACAATGAACAAGCTTGCTTTGCCAAAAAAAAAAATCCCCAACAAACAAAACACAGCAGCAAAACCCCCAAATACCAACGTGTGTGTTCATAGGGACACCTGGGAGTGGGAAAGGGGCAGGACTGGGACACAGGAAAGGCAGGACCACGCATTGCAGCGAAACAACTGTGACATCTTGTGGTCACACTCTGCTCAAGAGCCCTGAGGCCCGGCTCGTTTTGGTTCTGAAAAAAATCCTAAATGTGTTCTCAGATAAGGAGGAACCTGTGTCCTCCCAGGGTGCTCCAAGGTGCTTTTTCCCACCCTGTGTCATTTCCAGATGGTATAAAAAGGAATTTGCTTTCTTGACAAGCTCCAGTCTCTGTAGAACTCAAGCTCTAAAATTTTCCAACATCACCGATTTTTACATTTTAGCAGTACAGGAGGAAACTGAGCCCCTCATGCTTGTGAGCAGCTTGCTGGAACTGTGAGACAGCCGAGGATTCCACTGGCATCACTGCCAGGAGGCAGAGCCTGGCTCTACCTGGCCTTGGGATGAGCACTGAGGTGATAGCCACCAGGACAGAGGCTTTAAACTCAGTTCTAAGTGCAGACTGCAGTGTTTGGAGTGGGCCTGTGCCAAGTCACCTGCAAGTTCAACCTGTGGTGACAGTGTCACCTTGTCATGGTGACAGGGTGGGAGGGGGTGCAGTGCTCTACCCCAGGCAGAGGGTGAGGTAAATGAACTATACAGCTTAAGAAAATAGCTGGAGATAGCAGATGAATGAAGGGCTAAAACAGAATGATTTAAGTCTGAAGATAATTCTCCATGGCAGTCTCATCAGCACCTGTTGATCATATTATTCTGCCCATTCGAGAAATTGAGGGTGTGAGAAAGATTAACTAATTAGGGGTGGTTTTTGTTTGTTGAAATCACTTGCAAATGAATGTCTTACAGTAACAGAGCCAGATCATGTCTTCTTAGGTTACTACTATAGAAATATAGGAAAATCCCAACAATATCCTTTCTGAAGGATAAATGTGATACGGGAACCAAGGCTGTCTAACCTTTAATAGCTGAATTCCCTATCATGCTGGACTTTCATTTGTTTCATGACTCTTTTCCTGCCTCTCCTGAAATTCCAGCATCGCTGCTGAGTGCAAACTGACGAGCACAGCTCTGGAATCACTCCCTGCTGTAAGGACCCACAGAGCAGCTCCTCCGTGTGAACAGTTTGTAAAGTAACTCAAATGCTCCTGGGATAAAAGACAACGACAAAATGCTTTCCTACTGTAAATAAACCAAAATTATTTTCCTCCGAGTGTCTCAGGAGAACATAGGGATGTTGGTCCAGGACTGGATGGGGAACATCAAAGGAGTAAAGCAGAGATATTCTGGATGTTGAATTTCAATGCGTGAGTGGAATTTCCTGTTAATTAAAATTCACAAAGAGGCTGCTAATGTGAATGGCTTTTGTGATGGTTGTTGGATTTTTACATTCCTAGAGAAATGGTGCATAGGCAAGCAAAGTTCCTTTAAAATAACAGTCAAAGTTACAGAAGGTTACTACAGCACTTGAAATACCCTTTCCTGGGAATTTTCATATCTCTACACTTATCACAGACCCTTCAAAACTAATGGGGTTGAGTTGCCATTAAAAGCTGCTTTTGGCAAATCTTAGTACTAGCAGCAGCAAATAGAATCAGAAATTATTCATGCAGGCCTGTTCACCTTTGAACCCCAGAAATACTAAATCTTAAAATCTCAGCTTAAAAATTTAATTAGAAGTCAAGCATGCCAGACTAGTCTTACTCTCACAGATGCCTGGGTATAAAAAGAGCAGAATTAGATAAATCAGATCCTCTGGGGAGCCCTGGGAAATACAGGGGCTGCTGACAGAGCTGGCAAACAGGTCTTAGACTAGAGAGGTTTAGGGTCCAGGTGCTTCTTACACCTTTCCCAGGTGTGCCAAGGCCTCATTGTGACTTGGGTAAATCACTGGTCCCCTCTCTGCCTCAGTTTCTCACGTTGGCACAGAGATCACAACCCTGCTCTGGCTGCATTTGGGAAATACTTCCTGATCCCTGGATAGACAGTGCCACAGGCATGCCAGGACACTGGAAGTGATTTTTGGAGACTTCTACACAAACTCTGTGGTCTCAGCTCTGCTTTCAAGCCCAAGGAAAACCATCCTGTATTCGATCACCAAGGATGCACCAAGTCAGCGCTGAGAGCATGAATAAACTTGCATCCCTGACATCTGCAGGGGAGCTGGACTGGATGTTACCCCTTGGAACTGGATGATCCCAAAGCTCTTGCTGCCTGGTCTCCAGGCTGTAGGGACAGAGGCAGCACTGTCCCAGTGGCTGATGAGGATGCAGCAGCAGCAGTGGCTCAGAGCAGTGGGACCGTGGGGCTCCTTCCTGTGGGCACAGCCTATTCCCTGTTCCCTGTTCCCTGTTCCCTGTTCCCTGTTCCCTGTTCCCTGGCCTGGGACAGCAATCCCGTGCTGTTCACGGACAGCTGGCTGAGAAAGCAAACTGCAGGGAGCAATTTTCCCTTCCCATTCAGCCCATCTTTGCTAAGGCATGATGAGGAGCACCCAAGCAGAACAGCAGTGCCCAAACCCAGCACAGCCAAGCAGAGCAGGGATTTGGAGTAAGCTCCAAGGCTCTTTAGCAGAGCAGCCCTGAGATGCTGGGCCAAGGGGTTTTCCCATTGCTCCTCTGCTTAACAGGACTGCACTGCCCTTCTGCTCCTCCTGGGGAGCCACTGCCCAAATCAGGGATGAAGCTGGAGCAGGGGAACGCTCAGGCTTTGCTTTTCTCCCCTCAAACTACAGAGCAAACAGGACCATGTGATGTGCTAACCAACGTGCTTTATTTTGTTTTCCACAGTCATTAAGGATTTTGTTTGAACATTAAGGATTTTTTTTTTTTTTTGATTGGTCAAAGTTCCACATTTAATTGGTTTTGGCAGTTTGGGTTCAACCCCCTTGAGTTCCCACCTACCGCATCACCCCAAGGCTACTCCCATAGGGTAACCCCTGCAGCAGCAGCTGTGGCTGGTGAACATCTCCCTGCCAGCCCTCCCACCTGGCCCTGGGTTAGCAGCAGCATAGGAGCAGGGGGATGCACTGGATCCCTACCCTGGGCCAGTTCATCTTCTCAGCTCCCCAATTTACATTGTCAGAGAAACTGGTCCCAGCACAGGGATCCAGTCACTCACCTTCTGTAAAACAAGAATGAGATCTCTATCATTCAATCATCTATTTCAATGACTGATTATTTCAGTTTAATATTTTATATTCTTACAGAAAATAAAATAAAAATTATCTGATAAAATGGTGATTAAAATCACAGTCAATTTGCAATGCTTTCATTGAAAGTACCCAAGCAATCTGATTAAAAAAGACGTTAAGAATCAAAGCCTATTTTTAAGAAATGTCAATAATATTCCAATGCAACTTGTCCACTGACCTGTGACTCAGCAGGTCATTTGTGAGTGAGTCAATCTCACAAACCTAAGACTGGCCACAGTTACCAACGGTGAAACACCACCGATGTCCAAAGTTAAGTCAGAAATTAATTTGGTTCCAAACCCCCATCCGTGTACTCAGAACCAGGCAGCAATCGCTGTCCCAGGTTTTCAAAACACTGAACATGTTTGGAAACAAACTGTGGCCTTCCAGTTTCCAAAGCATGGAGAAATGCACTGAGTCCTACCAACACATCTCCCGAGTCATCCCTTCACACACAAACCTGAAGAAATATCTTCATCCTCCGAGAGAGAATTACTCATGAGATGGCAATGAGACCCCAGCCTTACACGCTGCCAGAAGCACCCGGCCACGCCGCCTTCTCCCCGCCAGGTTCTGATACACTCACTCACATTGGCTTGCACATAAATAATCCAGTTGCCTCCACCCTGTTGCCAGGGCTGCTTTCCAAAACGAGGTAGGGTATCAGAAGCTAGAGCAGCAAGGCTCATCAGCTCTCATGGGGGGACAGGCATCTACCCAAAGATGCTCCATGCTTACAGGTTGTCCAGTTAACAACCACCTGTGACAGAAGGACTCTGGGAGAGTCGGATTTGTACCTGCAAAAGGTGGGGAAAGATCTCCAGAGAAAATAACAAATGGATGTTGTGACACTGACCAGAATTTCTAAAAATAAAATTAAACCAGAAGGTCCCACACAGTGTGAGTGGCCACGTGGCTTTTCCTCCTGTGCAAACTCTGACGATTCCAGTGCCCCAGTCCTAAGTGAGTGAGTCCTTCCCCGGGGGTGGCTTTGTTCATATTTTATTTAGTGCACTTAAAGTGACATTTTCTACAGCTGTCACAAGTGAGGTGGCATTTTCTGCATGGATGTTGGCCCATGCAGGGAAGGTCCCCAGCTGGAAGATGCTCTTGGCCCATGTGTTCATAGCCAAGCTAAGAAGCAGAACTCCCATAAGATTCATGAGCAACCCAGTTCTTGCCTACAAAAGAAATACAAAGACAGCTGTTGAGTTTAGACTGGACATCTACAGCATGTGAAGCACGAAGCTATTTGAATGCAAACATTATAAAAATGGAAGGCTTAATTGCTGTTAATATTAGCAACATTTTAAGCAGGCTTAAAGCCACAAAGGCCATTCTGCAGCTGCTTACCAAGCTTTGATCCATCAAAAACATTAACATCTGTTTAGCCTCAGGAATGTGAGCAGGAACTGCGACTAAGCCTAATTTTACTCATAAGCTTTATTTCACTGAGCTGGGGAAGTTTTCCTGCATCCAGAAACCTATGAAAGTTGAGCTGCTGATTCTAGAGGAACAGGACAAGCGGCTGGGAGATGCTGTCCACATTCAAGTCCACTTTTATCACCATTTGGAGCCACAGTGGCTCCAAATTTCAACTTCATACAAGCTCCTTCCATCCTGTTCCTTCAAACACTGTTGGCAACAGTATCAGACTTCTGTCTTCTCATTTTACTACATATTGTAGTACAAGCAATACAGAAAATTCCCTTCTTCAACACTCAGGTTGATTGTTTTCATCATTTTATGCATCTAAAGGAACTTACCATATCCTTGACCATCAAATGTCCAGAGGAAAACGCAATTGAGTTGGGAGGTGTTGAGACTGGTAACATGAATGCATAGGAGCATCCTATAGTTCCTGGTATCATTAAATAGAGGGGATTTACTTTCAGACGAATGGCCTGGAAAACCAGAAGAGAAGAAATTGGACCTTGGAGATTTGAACTGCCAACAGATGAATCAAAAAGGGTGCAAATACCTAGTGCACTGGGCACAGCCCTATCCCACACTCTGTGATAAATAATCACATCTCTCACAATGAAGTCTGAAGGATTATTATCCTTCAGTGCCCACATTATGCTACAGGGCTTGTTGCTCCCAAGGTTTTCTAAGAGCCTGAAGCCCAGGAGCAGGAAGATTACCCAGTGCCTGTCCCAGCACAGACCCAACACAAACCTGCCCACCCACAGGGCAGGGCAAGGAGGGGACAGAGGACGAGCTGGTCTTGCCATGGGATGACCTTACCAGCTCTGCCAAGACAGGCAGAAAGATGATAATAGTGGCAGTGTTGCTGGCAAACTCCGTGAACAAGGCGATGACAACTGTGATGAGGATGACAGCCACGGGAGGTGGCACACCCTCCAAGGGATGCAGACGGCCTCCTATCCACACAGACAAGCCAGACTCCTGCAGAAGGGGAGAGTAAAAACAGGAGTCATCCTCCTGCATCCCTGCAGGGGAACTGGTGCTCTCCTAGAACTTGTCCTCAGGGTGTCTCACAGCAAGCAGCTTGCAAGGAGTTGTGGCCTCATGAGTTATGTGCCCTGCCTTGCTGTCACTTGGAGTTGAGAAATATGTCCTTTGAGTGTGGTGACTCCATTGATACAAGTTTTCCAAAGCCAAATGAGAATGCCAAGTGACACCCTGATAAAATCCAGCCCTGCTGGGCAGGATGATGCCACGTGGCATCTGCTGTGGCCTCACCTCACAGCCCTTGGCCATGGCAAAGCCTCCTCCAAGCAACAGGATGATGTTCCAGGGCACCGTCTCTTGGGCCTTCCTCCAAGTCAGCAAGGGCTGGGTCTCTGTGTTTGGTGCTGGACAAAGAGGAAAGGCCTGAGTCAAACACCCACCCGAGGAGGAGCATCAGTCATCGCCTGACTGAATGATAGCATGAGTCTGACAGCAGTGCTGAAGCTCACTGACCATGAGCTGTTGATCAAATACACACAAGGAGTGTCTCAATTTAGCCAACTAAAGGAACATTTAACTTAGTATCAGACAAAAAATAAAAAATAATAAAAAAATTATGGCAATAAAGTTTTCTTTGAGGCTTTCTTGATTTAATATTTAATATTGGGTTAATTTTCTCACTGTAACAGACATAAACATTGTCTCCAACAGATGGGGGTCCACAGAAGGAGGAAATTTTCTGCCATTTGAATTACAACAATTTATTAAATTTCCATTTATCATTCCACAGCCAGTGAGTTTTACAGCAGAGAGCTCTTCTCCCTTAAAAGCCATTTCTTAATACGTGATAAAGTTGTATGAAAGGATACACTAAAGGGACTGAAATTTTCTGTTGAAAAAGGGCACATATTTTATCCACAGGAGGCCTGATTAAACATCTTCCTGTATATGTACAACACAACAAATGTGCATGACTCAGAGCAGATGCTATTTTGTTCCCACAGACCCCAGGCAATGCTCCATCATCCACAAAGGGCCTTCATCAACTACTTCTCCACATTCAGATCATCTCTTTTTCCAAACAGTTTATGAATTAAAATCTGTATTTCATTGCTGCTTAACAGGTCTGACCCAAGACTTCAAAACCTGCTGGAGAGCTTGAGCTTTAGGAGTTCAAATTCTAAATGATTCTAGAAACTGAGGAAGAGCACCTATATCTGAGAATGGACAACTAGCCCAGCTCTGCCCTCTCAGAGGCCCATGCTCCCCTTGAAGGACAGGAGCTGTTGGGAAGTCAGACACCAAACCTCTGTTCCACCATCAAGTCTGCTATGGTAAATGAACACCCATTTCACGTCACTTCATCCCACCATGGCATCAACCCTGACAGCTACACCAGCAGCTGAATCATTCCTGCCATTAGCAGCAGGGCAGTGACTGCTGAGCCTCTGCTGGAAAAAGCCTCTCTAGGATGAAATGGCACCTTGGAGCTGCCCCACACAGGCAGTGCCACTGCTGCAGCTCCCAGCAGGGACAGCATTGCTTCTGGCCCCATGCCTGCCCTGCCAGGACACAGGCAAGCACAGAGTCCCTGCCTGGAGGGGTCTCCTACTCACCTTTCAAGTCAAACCACCACCTGAAGGAAGGTTTTTGTGAAGGGAAGAAGAACAGTATAATCACAATGGTGATTCCTGTAACCGCATCTGAGATAAACCTGTCCAAAAGCAGCAGAAACACTTGTAAGAAGCACAAGGCTGTAGAATTACAACATTTATGAGAACAGGAATTTACCAAAGAAGATTACAAGTTTCCGTCAGGTTTGAACAATGCTCGTTTTTCACAGTTCTTTTATTTTTTAATTCCCTGTTGAGCTACATTTCTACCCTGGGCTGTGAACCCCCCAGAAAAGCTGCCCTACAAAAATAAAAACCAAGATCTAATCCCCCCCATGCTGATGTTCTGGTTTTCTGATTGCAGAGTTATAAAGACAAGTTTCCTCAGCCTGTTGCAGGGAGGAAGAGAGACAGAGCCCAAACCATCTTATTTATATGAGCTCTTTGCAAAATGATCAAACTCTCAGGTGAAGGGTAGGCTCCATCCAGAAAAAAAGCTTAAG